GCATTGTGTTCGACGATCGCTTTAGGTCTCTTTTTTATCTGCAACAACGCAATTACACTTGTTTACCTTTATAAAATAATTCGTATCACGTTTGTTTTTAAACAGGTTTCACGACAAGATATATTTATGTTTTACCGTCAAACGAATTATTTAAAATTAGTTTTAAAACTATTCTCATTATGAAAACTTTGTCATGATTGAATTTTGTATTATTTATTCAGTAAATCGATTAGGGGTGGTGCGGTCCGGACGCGCTCGGGTGCTCGCTCTCAGAACGAGTCAACGAACGTATACACCGGTGACGGTGACACGGCATCATGCCGAACATTGCCAGCCGCCGAGGACGTCTACAATTAACCTATCGGTCCTTTACATTACACTCTTTAAAATCACTCAGACTACTTCTTTACATGTATAATAAAGTATATTCTGTTATTTCATTACCACGTTTTTATTAAGTCACTTTCTTGTTTGTCTGTCGTTCCGGGTGAAAATGGAATTTAGTAATTGATTTTAAACTAACTTCCCGATGAGCTGGAAACTTGAAATTTTCAATATAGCTCAAATTTGGATGACAATGGTAAATTAAAAAAAAATTATTTATTTGTTCAGTTTATACACTTTTACTTTTTTATATTAGGACTTAGTTTTTTTATGTTACTCTGCTGGGTAACAAGCCACTTTATCTTCAAATTGATACTACATCTACAAGGCAAAGCTTATATGCTTGCCAAAGCTTGCTTGCTAAGCCTTATTTATTTATTTAACAATTTATGTACACACAAAGTAATGTTACAATGAAAAATAAAAAAGATATTTTGTACAAAGACACTGCTTATTTCATATTAAAATTTCTTTCAGCAGGCCTGTGATACTGGACAAATTCAAAAAGAAGCGGAATTACTGTGCACTCTCATAATAAATTTTATAATATTAATTATAAAATTTACTGTTAGAAATTTATTTTTTAATATAAAATAAAGATAATAAAAATATATACATACATCCATACATACAAACATACATATACCTAACAATTCATACATTAGATCATTGGGACGACAAAGACTCTTTAACTCGCCTTTTAAACACTGAAACTGAATTGAATTGAAGCCTCACGAATTGCAGCAGGAAGAGAATTCCATAACTTAACTGCATGTACTGTAAAAAAGTGAGATTAAAACTTAGTTCTGAAGGAAGGGAAATTTAGGAGTTTTTAAATGTGACCTCTAAACTGCATCGGGGGAATGAGCAAAGCGGAATCGATCACGTAGATACGGTGGTGATGTTGGATTGTATAGTATGTTAAAAGGAAAGAGGAGGCATAGGATACGGGTTTTCCTGCGAAGTCGGATTGGGAGCCACTTGAGCTTTTTGCGATAGGAATAGACGTGGTTATACTTTTTTAGTCCAAAAATATAACGAATACATAAGTTTTGCAAGCGCTTAAGTTTGTTCAATTGCTCCTCAGTCACATCCATATAACAAACATCAGCATAATCACGAATCGGGAAAATAAGTTTTTGGACAAGAGAAATCTACGTTGATAATGGCAGAAAACTTTGAAGGCATTTTAAGGACTATAGGATATGTGTATTCCATGTCAACTTGCAATCCATGATGATTTCAGAGATCCCAGATTCTTAATTGTTTCTGAAATGCTTAGTGGAGTGCCATTAATTTGCAGTGTTGGCAGTGAAGTAAAATCAAATAAGCTACTAGTAAACCCGTTGCCTATAATCATTGCTTGTGATTTTTTAGGATTTATAACAAGTCCATATGATTTAGACTATTCATGGATTTTATTATATCTTTATTTATTTCAAACATTGTTGAATTTGCTTCAGTTACTAGAAAATGACGATACAGCTGCAAATCGTCTGCATAGAGATGGAAGTTTGAAGATATCTATATACCTTGGTGATAAGGTTAATAAAGATGGAAAAGAGTAAAGGAGAAATGCCACCTTGAGGTACACCCGTAGCTAGGTTGCACCACTTAGATAAAGTTTAATTTGAACAAATACACTGAGAACGGCCACGGAGGTAGGAATCACACCATTAAATAGTTGAAGGAGAAACATTAATAGAATGAAGAGTGCTAAAAATATATCGAAATCAATAGAATTGAAGGCACTACTAAAATCTAGCAGCACAAGTATCGTTAAGTATTTTTGGTCTATACCGCACCGTATATCATCCGTTACCTTAAGAAGAACAGTAGTTGTACTATGGCCAGGCCTGAAACCAGGTTGAAAAATACTTAAGATATTGTTAGGGTTAAAAAATTTAGCCAATTGGGTGTGGACAATATGTTCAAGCACTTTTGAAAGAAATGGTAGAATAGAAATAGGCCGATAATGAGTTGTAGATGACGGATTCGAAATTTTGGGTATAGGAATAATATGAGCTAACTTCCATGACGACGGAAAGCAATAAAAAGATAAACAGAAATTAAAGATATGAGTAAGAATAGGAATGACAAAGGAAAGAATAAACCTAATCATTTTAGAGCATATGTTATCATTTCAAATAGCAGGAGATGAAATTGCAAGGACGGATCGTTTAGTATCATCTTCAGTAAGAGAAGTGAAATTAAACGAGGAATAATGAGGAATTGAGCATTTGGATAATTCAAGTAAAAGACCATTTCTAGTATCTTTCCCTTACCCATAATCAGTTCCTTTGATCCTCTGTCAATCTGTCTCTCTCTCTACTCCTTTGCACTCTTACTTCTTTTTTTAAGAAATCCTTTACTGTAACTGTTGTACGTTTGTGGAACTCTTTACCTTTCAACATTCGTCGTGCTCAATCTTTTCATTCTTTCAAAAGTCTTGTGAAATCATATTACTTAGAACGCTACTAGATAAATTACTTTTCCTTTTTCGTACTCTTTTCATTTAATCTATTATATGATATCATACATAATCTTCACTTATCTTTATTTATATGTATTTGCATATTTTTATTTTGTACGCCCCTCTATTTTAACTATTGTTTGCATCAGTTCTCTATGCTAAGGTTGTCTGGAAGAGATCACTTTCAGTGTGATAAGACCGCCTGTTGAAAATATTCTACTTTAGATTTAACTGTACTCGTTATTTTGTATTTTGGTGTACAATTAAGAGTTAATAAATTAAATCGCCCTCAACGTCTCCAAGTTAATGCCCTTATAACTTCTAAGATATCGAAAATGTAGCTTGCGCTTAGGGAGATGTACACGGTAGGATTGGTAGATGAGATCGTGTCATGAAAATGAGGTTAGCAGCACTATTTAAAGATGAAACGACAATCAGATCTAGAAGAGATGCAGTACAGTTAAAAAAGTGGTGGGTGGCAGATAGAGGCAAGATTTCTAGGTTATAAGATGACACAAGAGATTGCAATTTATAAGTACGTAAATCATTTTTAATTAAACATGCGTTAAAATTTACACGGCTATATAGGTACAGGACAGAAATTATTACGAAGTGTGTCTAGTATACTATAACAATATAACCGAGCACTTCAATTTTTAATTAATTCTTTATATATCCATGTACGATTAAACGTTATAAAATTTAAGAACTGAGCAAATCTTATTGTTTAAATTTTACACTACAGAAATTCAAACAAAGTTAATCATTATTATTTTACTTCCCTAAAGGAAGCATATTTAACTCCAAAACTCCACGCTGACATTTAACGAGGAACTATGGTTGGTAGAACTGACGTCACCTAATTGTTACATATGTTTAAATAATATTTTTATAAAAAAAACAATTCAAACGCCATACTGTTCACTGTGCGTAGCCCTCGTCACGTAAGTAATTTGCATACACAACTGCTCGCTTGCTTTTGAATAGGCCTACGTCATACCCGAAACTTAATCAAACACACGAATTTAATAAAATAGTACAACAAGCATTTCCGAAATCAAAGGCTCAGCTACGGGGCGTATAAAGTCTGTAACTTTTTTTACAAAGACAACTTCGATTTCCAAGTTTATGATATTAAAAAGAGCCGCCAAATTTCACTATGATAACCCTTTATAGTAAATTTGGCGATTTTTAAATCCTTTTATAATAAACTGGAATTTAAATTATCCCAATTAAAACATTAACCTTGTTAAGAGATTGATTTATTGACAATGTTCTTCGCTTTCGATTCTAAACAAAAAATGGACAAAATATATGCGATTTTTTGTGCATTTATCACAGCCAATTTTAACAACTTCACCCTTTAGACAACATTTACTTTTGCGATACAAATATTTATGTCTGTTAAAATTGAAACGAAGGGAAAATAGAATTTATTTTTTCACCATGAAACCTTTCTCAAAACGAAAATATATTAGGTTAAATCTTATTAATCAAATCTCAAGTTGAAGATAAATGCCCGCAGACATCGCAGGTTCATAGGACGGGGTGACCGGCCAGACGCCTCAGGGATCACGAACCTTTCTTACACAATTTGAACTAGTTGCTACACTTTCAAAACTTTAAGGAATTTGATCCTACTATGAGGGCTTTCAGTTACTACGTTTTGCGAAAGATAGTTCTGTACTCAGTTGCTACGAAAGTTCTAGATGTCGTTGAAGTCTTTAATGTGAAGACTTATGTAGTATTTTAATGTAATTATTTATAGTTCTAATTAAGTGCAATAATTTCTACAATTTTATCCCTGAAGTGTTCTCTAAAATATTATAAAATTTTATATGGCCCTCTTACTAAAATAAATAACTAATATGATGGAATCTATATCCTATAAAAGAAGACAAATATATTTATAAATGCCTTAATATTTTTTTAAGTAAGTGTAATGTAATTTAATATAATATAAATAATATACACAGAAAAAACAACTTTCCGACTATTGTTTTGCAAATTTATCTTTATCATATATTGAATCAGATTTGCTGTGATATAACTGTGTCTTTAAATTTCTTAATTTGTAAAATAACAACCGATTTCCAGAAGTTAACATTTCTCAATTAATACAACATATGATTTTTGTATTTAGATCACGTAAACGCGGCCCGAGCAGTTCGTGCGATCTCGGCTATGGAGAACGCGATGATCAGATGAACGAGTGTAACGCTGCGCTCGTCCTTATGTCTCTCAGCTGCTCGCCCAACTCTCCACGGCCAAGTAAGTCTTCAACGCGAGTAATTTATTCATTACAACCTAGCAAAAGTCTATCGCCTCCTATAGGCCTCCTCCACTTGTCAAGTTACCATACTTAGCAGGCTGGTTGGCAACCGTAGTTTTATTATTTTTGCGGTCTTATCCGGAACATGATGCTGCAAATCTCCTGTTTTATTTTCCTCTGTTGCGTCTTACGATATCCACAAGAAGAAACGGGATTCTCTCATGCCACCGCTACTATATTTTTTTATTCCTTACGTAGTAGAGCCACGCTGCAGCTAAATTATGGTTGTGGCACGATTAGGTTGGCTCGATTGGAGTAGAACTACGCTCTCACAGAATACCAGCGTAAAATAGTAGGTATTTTTATAGGATAGAGTGACAAACGAGCACACAGTCCACCTGATGGTTAGTGATTGTTGTGGCATATATACATCTACATTTATCCTCGTTTGCGAATCAAAATGCAGATGCGTTGTCACCCGTGAGGACTAAGATGGAATGCCTCTTTTCCACCCACTGCTATTTTACGCTGGTATTCTGTGAGAGTGTGGTCCTTCTCCGGTCGAGGCGACCCATTCTTGCTACAACTATACTACTAATATAGCTGCAGCATGGCTCTACCACGTAAAAAAATGTTAACGCTGATGTGTTTCGTATGGTGAGTGTAGAGAACCAGAGACCCTGTTTACTGTAAAAGAGGCATTCCATCTTTGTCTTCAGTGGTGACAGCGCATCTACTGTGATTGCACGTTATTCTTAATGAAGGACAAATATAGATGTCTATGAGCCACAGCATCCACTTACCATCAGGTAGACTGTATGCACTCACCTTTATACTACAAAGAATAATGTTTATTTGCTAAAACAAGGCAAAAGTTGTATGTTAATTGTACAAATTGTATTAGAATGAGATTTTGGTAACAAAGTGTGAACCAATCTCAAACGATTCGTCATCATATTAATCGCTCATCTCAACGCAAATGTAAGTTTTACACATCAATACGCATTACGCTGCCACACTACTTTGACGTAGGTACACACACTTATAGTAATTATGTTACGTAATGATGCACGGTCGTTTTACACGCTGACTGAGAGATATTACGCTGACGATTGATATGGTTCAAACAATCACATTACTTTGTACGCTACGACAACACTCATACTTTGGAACAATTATTGTTCCAAAGTATGAGTGTTGTCGTATTATTGGTGTTTTTTCATGTTCCGAAAATTCCAGAATTTTTAAAATTTGGATCAATACATTTTTTTATATCCTAAAACTGTAAGTGGTTAGGTTTTGTGTTAAATCTACGAAACGTTGATAACGTCTAGACAGCAGTCTAGACATCGTCTAGACAGGTATTCGGTGTAACTTCGCTCTCGTGTTATGAGCTCCAACCAAATGTTATCCACTTATTTGGTTACAGAAGCATTGAGTACTTTCAAGAAATGTAAAAAAAAACTTTATTATATTCAGTTTTATCCAAGTAAGCAAATGTTGAGGAGTTATTACTCCAATATGTTAACTAATTGTAAGTAGCTACTGCAGCCCGTGGACATCTGTAGCCAGCTTCGAACAAAAAAGGCTGTAGATGTGTTTTCATCTTCAAGGCTTAAGATGGATTGCCTCACAGCCTTTAACTTATAATAATTTTTAGTACCTTTCATCCCAGTTATACTAATTTTTATAAGTAGTTAACTTATGAACGTATCAAAACTTTATTAACATTTCCTTTACTAATAAAAGGTTTAACTTAGAAATAAATAATCAGTCTATTTTATCACTACTAGATAAGCCTATTCAGGAATGACATACACCTCATATAACTTTCTCTATAGAAGAAACAGAAACAGAAACTTTTTTATTCAATATAGATTATAAATAATACTTATTGAAAGTCACTCTTTTGTTTGATTACCACTGATTCGGAAAAAACCTCTGTCCTGGGAAGAACCAGCAAGAAACCCAGCGGGCCTTTTTTTAAATAACAGCTTACAATCATGATGTTACACAAATTAACAACACAACAAATTAGAAATAGCTTGGTAGCGATCACCTCATTTCCAGGGGTTATTATCATCCATAAATTCCTTAATATTATAATAACCCTTTTTATACAAACTTAGTTTAATAAAGTTTTTGAACTTTGAGCAGGTCAAACTTTGTATATTTTCTGGAATTTTGTTGTAAAAGCGTATACATCGCCCCAAGAATGAATTACTGACTCGATGTAGTCGAGTAACTGGTACTACTAGCTTGTGTCTGTTCCTAGTATTTACAGAATGAATATCACTTATTTTTGTAAAAGTAGAAGTAAGTGTTGTTCACCTAATAGTTAGTGAATGCTCAAAGAATCAAAGATCACAAACTTTTATTTGCATCAAACATGGTAAATACATGTGTTAATTACATACATTTTAGGCCAAACATGTTTCACCGTTTATATAGAGGCATATAAATATCAAATTTATTTTTATGGCTAATTTACTCATTATTAAGTTATTAATTACAACATTTTGAATGCTGTATTATGAGTGTATATATATATAGCCATAAATATTTACATATTTCATTGATCAACAATCAAAATGCCCATGAGTGTGTGGCAAAACCCGTGAGGACTATGATGTATTGCCTCATTACTACTAAAAAGAATTTCTCGTTTGTTTCCTTCACCATTTGAAACACAGCAATATTATATGTACTGATATTTTACATTGGTATTCTACAAGAGCGTGCTCCTTTCCTAATCGATTGCACCAGTGCTGCTAAGTGTTTACCATTACCTCTATGGGATTTGAGCTCAGGATTACTACATTAATGTATTGACATTTTCGGTTGCCAAAGCCTGTTCATTCATTAACGTATTACACGGTATGCAAGAGAGGCTGCCATATGTAGATTAAGGGGGACACCAACACATCCCTTCATTATTTTATCAACAAAATTCAGTTATAACTTCAATTTTATATACGTGGTAGAGCCATGCTGCAGCTATATTATAATTGCGTTACGAATAGGTTGACTCGCCCAGGGAAGAACCACGTTCTCACAGAATACCAGCATAAAATAGCACCTCAATGCTGCTGTGTTTAGTATGGTGAGTGTAGAGAATCGGATACCCTTTTTACTAGAAAAGAGACATTCCATCTTAGTCCTCACGGATGACAACGCATCTGCATTTTGATTCGCAAACGAGGATAGATGTAGATGTCTATGGGCCACAGTAACCACTTACCATCAGGTGGACTGTGTGCTCGTTTGTCACCCTTATACTATAAAAAAAAATTGGTAAATCTCAAATTGGAGATTTCTTACTTTTACTGCTTTACGAGTATTATCACTAGTAATAGTGTAAACAAGCTATATCAACTTTATATTTACTAGATGGTAGGTGAACTAGGTGTCCACTTGGATCTGTATTACCCTCCTACTTATTCAATAAACAAGCAGGAATGCACTGCTACATAATGATTTCTTATATTTACGCGAAGACTACACATTAAATGAAACTAATTTTACGGGTTTTATCGTGTTTAACTTAACTTTTTCATTCCCGACGTTTCGGGTGCTTTACAGCCCGTCGTTTTTGACGTCCCGATGTCATAGTGAGCCTGGCTACCTTCACGCACAATCCCTGGCGCGGTAGCCAGAGAGAACAGATCGCCAAGCGTCACGATCCTTACATACCTCTTTCGCTTCTTTCAGATTCATTATCTTCTTCATACATGCACGTCTAGGTATCCAAGTACTCTTGACCCTACCCTCTTCGAGCAATTTGCTCACATGGTCTTCGAAAGTTAGTCTCGGTCTACCTCGACACCTTTTAATATTAACTTTCGCGCTATATATTTTCTTCACCATTCGGCTACCTGGCTACCTTCAGTTTGTGAATATTAATTTTTGGGCCGATCTACGCAGTATGAGCTTATAGTATCTTGAAGTGATAAAAGCGATAAAATCCGTAAAAATTAGTTTCATTTAATGCACTCCTACGTTCAGCCTGTGAAGCATTACATTTTCTTACTTACGATAGACAAAGCTTCGTGTCCTTTTTTATAGGAGACGAGACGAGAGATGCAAATGAGCATGCGGCTCTTCTGATGGTAAGTGAATACCGCCGCCCATGGAAACTGCAACACCAGGGGAATTGCAGATGCGTTGCTGGCCTTTTAAAAAGGAGTAGGCTCTTTTCTTGAAGGTCCCTAAGTCGTATCGGTCCGGAAAAATCGCTGATGGTAATCGATTCCACAAGGAAATCTATGAGCTGAAGTATACACTTTTTATTAGATGGACTGTTCCGTCGTCGCCACCCTGATAAGTATAAGTATCGGAAACCTGATATTAAATGTACCAAAAATTAATTAGTCTAATCTGTAATGAAGGCATGTAAAACTGGTTGCAACGCCCAATGGGAGCCACGCCCATGGTAACGTCACACTAATCGTAAAACTTTACGATTTATCTTCGGTAGTCTAGCCCGAGTGCATTCACGCCGAGTAAATAGCTGTTCTCGCGAGTGAAAGTGGCCAGCCATAGTACCGTTTCGTAATATATTTGTGCAGGCGCACCGGCTGTGGGATGCAGATTATATTAAATATTTAGTAATTCCGTTGAATATTTAACACAAAATGTCGTAATTTTGAAATAAGTTAACATTTTACTTGTTTATATACGTTCACTTATTTACAGACACGATATCATTATTCGTAGATAATAATATCGTGTATACGTATAAATAAAATTGAAGTGTATGTCTATAATATCGAAATAAGTTTGCCTATTAGGCCTTATCTTCGGAATGGCTAAACCGATTGTATTGAAACCTCACGTACAGACAAAGAGTAATGCCAGGAGTGAACTAAGCTATATTTTATCCAAGTGATTTATTTTGTAAAGTATATAGAACTGAATATGGGAATAAAGTTAAGAAGATATACGAGGAACAAGGCAATAGATATATACTGACAAATTTTTATACAATGCAATTTTTACGAGAAAAGTTAAATACAAGAAAAGAGCCTACTATTTTTTAAAAGGCCGTCAACGCATTTACAATTCTCCTGGTGTTGCAGTTGTTCATGGGCGGCGGTAGTCACTTACCATCAGATGAGCTGTATGCTCGTTTTCTCCCTCTCCTATAAAAAATTTTGCTGGTAGAAAATGCCATATGGCATTAAGTCCGCCGTTTATTATATAAAGTGTATAAATAAATAAATAAATAAATAAAATATAAATGATTTGAAATAATGGATTTCTGGACTGCATTTCACCAACTAAAAACTGTTTCTTATTTGAAAACATATCACTAGGAATATAATACAAGCTAGCATAATTCTGTACAGGTGCATGGGGTGGACGCTCATCAGTATCACCTGGGGCCAGCAGTAGCTCGGGCTCTTCGTGGCGTTCTAGCACGCCATCGCCGCCTCCTGTCTCATCCTCATTCAGTGATGAAGGCATTGCTATGGACTACGAGGATCTACACCCTCGTAAGAAAAGGGTAAGTTTTTTATCTCTGACCTGATTAGTATCTTTTGATTATACGTCCATACATATATAAATGAAATTGAAAGGTCTGTCTGTGATATCAAAATAAGTGGCTTCTATTAAGCTAGGAATAAATAACAATTTTCTAAATGTTTTGTACTGTCTGTCTGTCTGTCTGTCCAGACTTATCTTCGGAAAGACTGAACAGATTGTGATAAAAGTTTACGAAAAGAAAGAAAGCAATCCTAGGAGGAATCTAGGCTATAATTTCATGCATAGAACTTGTAGATTAAAAAAAAATGATTAAATAATTGGTCTATGACATTAATAGATCCTATCCAAGCGAAGCCGGGGCGAGTTGCTAGTCATAAATATAAGTGAAAAGAAAACCAAATGCAAAAATAATTAGACCATCAAGAAACAAACAAACTGCTTAAGTGCGTCTTCTCAAACATTACACAGGCGTCTTGTTATATGTGTCCAACCACCGTGCCAGTAGCGATTTCATTTAGACCGTGACATGAATCATGCTCACTTTCGGATTATAATATTTCTGCAAATATTAATTATACTACTTCGTTACATAGAGGCAAATGTAACGGTCCGCTTTAAAACTCGTAGTTTCTTTTAACTACTCTATATTTCATAGATTATAACATCTTGGTACAGTTAGCAGAAGGTAATAAAATAATAAAAATCGAATTTGAGAAGTTTTTAAATAAAAATTATGTTCCTTAAAGTTTTAACAGTAAAGCATAAGACTTTGCAGTCTTTAAGAAACAAGGAGGTTGTGATTTCGACTATATGTTCTGTTTTCTTACCGAGTTAAGCTTCATTTTTGCTAATTGTGAACTGATGTTCATGATGTCCCGTATATAGTTTGGAGAACAAAATTTCAAAAGAAAAATAAGGGATTGTCAGTAAATGATGTGGTCTATAGGTTATTCTATATACCACAGTTATTACTATTTTTATAGTTTATACTATATACTAACCCGACTTATGTACACTGTCATATTACTCATAGTGATGATTGCTGCTTGCATCACTTTAGCACCTGGATTCCATGATCAGTTAAAAAAGGTAGGTGTATAATTTTTTAATATGTGGCCACTTAGCATTAATAAATGCAAATTATTAAGAAAAATTTCCTTTTTTTATAGCATAAGGGTGACAAACGAGCACACAGTTCACCTGATGGAAAGTGGAGTGCCGTGGATCGCAAATATCTACATTTATTCTCGAAATTTAATTCGAGAATAAATGTAGTCTAAGACTAATATTTAGACTCAAAATGCAGATGCTTTGTCACATCTGAAGACTACGATAGAATGCCTCGTTTCCGGTGAAAAGATCTCCAGTTCTCTACACTCACCATACAAAACACAGCAGCATTAAGTATTCTGTGAGGGCGTGGGCCTTTCCCGAACGAGCCGACCCATTCGTGCTACAACCATAATATAGCTGCAGCTAGGCTCTACCACGTAATAAATAAGAATCAAAATGCAGATGCTTTGTGACCTCCGATGTTTAAGATGGAATATCTCATTACCAGTAAAAATGGAGACGATTGAGAATCTCCGGTTCTTGTCACTAACTATACGAGGTACAACAGCTTTATGCTACTATTTTTTACCTATGTATTCTGTAAAAGTGTGGTAAATTAATTGCAGTATGTACAATGTGCAGCTGGCATACCGTCAAGTAATGATTAATAGAGATGATTCAAAGCACAGCTTCATTGTACAAAGTTATCTGACATTTAGCAAATCCTGTTGTGTCATAGCTTTGTACTTAGTACCGGACTATCGTAGTCTGTATAATGCAAAATGTTACGTTTAAACTGGCGAGCTGTGTATGCGACTTTCACCAGTAAAACACCTGTTCTCCGTTGCTGAAGGCCATTATATCACAACTGGGTAGCCATGCAATTTCTATTCCTGGTTTCGCAAACCCCCGATAATGTTGAAGCGATTTATGAATATGATTATTCAGATGGAGTTTCTAATGCGTTTTCACGTTCTCATTTTGCTCTTATAATAATAAAATAAATGTTCAAATATATTCCGATGTACTGAACTATCCTTTGTATTGTTTGTAGCTAATAAATGGCATACCATCAGCCCGTTCCATTCTCTCCGGTTGTCGTAAGAGGCGAACATGGGAGATGCCAGAAAAATGTTTTAGCTTCCAATAGATGGCGTTGTGTCGTGATATAACCAGACTGGCGACGAGCAGCAGCGCCAAAGGTGTGAGACAAGCGTTACCTACTATTAAAGCAAACCCTCCGAACAAGGAGGAAGGTACTCAGTGAAATTTTACAGGCTTACGAAGAAGAATAGAATTGGCGGATATTAAGTAAAATTTCCTGAGAATTCATCATCAGCAAGCCACAAATAATCTCGATATAAGTCTCTTTAAGTTGGGAGGATTTTGTGCAATCCCCGGCTAGGCGGGTAGCGGTCACAATACCAGACGCTTTCCGCATTAGATTGCAAGAGAATAGTTATATACGGACTTATAGCCTAAACCCGTAACTCAATGTCAATTACAGAAATAATGTTATGCAGAGACACCTACTGATACTGACTTGACGCTGTTTGAAATTGCCTAGCATACTTATTAAAAATTTTATAAAGGCTGATAAATGCACCCCAGTATGAGAAACATGTTATGTTTATTATTTGCAAGTATGTGTAATGATTCACAAACACGTGCGCAGTTCAGTATGTCGCACAATGTCAAGGCACCGCAGCCAGCCCGGTCGCTTATGCAACACTATTGTAAAATTGTCGTAAATACATTTATGGGTGAGCTGCAGCCGGTCCAACGCTCTTAAACCCTATCGCATTACGCATAGTATCGAATAACAAATGCAATTAAATATATTGATAATGAGGCTTATCTTGGACATTAAACAAGTGTAACAGCCGTCAAAGCTTACGTCGTAAACAGTTTTATTGAAACACTTTAAATGCTTTCTTATTAACATAAATGTGCATTTCCTTAACAAAACACGAATAGTAATACATATTATAGGAAAAACATCGATTTTGAAACAGTTCGCATAACTATTTTGTAAAAAAATTGGCGTACGTAAAGGAACGTTGTTAATAAATGGCATTTACGAGCATACAGGATATGTTAGGTAATAATAATGTACTCCAGACCGAATTTTAGTCTTAATTTAGGACACGATTATAGATTACGAGTGCATGGGAATACACAGGTGCACTCTATATTCTATTGCCTCGCTCTCAAAATCCGATGGAACGGTAATCCGATACGACTGGATGTGTATCAGGCGCAGGACCAACGGCTGTACGTGGCACGGGGGTGAAACACCGCCAACTTCCTGACTCCGCGGGCTGCAACTGAGAATTTCTTGACAAAGTCAATACGATATTAGGCAGTCTCGTCGCTGTAGCACTTAGAAACTTTTTACTGTCGTCTGAATTAAAGATTTTGCTACCATTTATAGTACTTATTTAAATTATTTAAACATCAATTATCTCATCATAGGTTTACCCTTTTATTTAGAAATAGTAATAATTCCATTTTAAATTTATAAAAATTGAATCAAATTGTGTTAGTATTACAATTTAATATTTCCTTGTGCAAGCTGGTCACTAGAGACAAAGAATATTAGTTTCAACGTCCCTATCCCTCATGTAATTGTCAATTTTGTAATAGGCCTATAGCCGTCCATGTTTAACAATTTTCTCCGGTATCTCATTATATTTATAGTATTATACCATTATTATGATTGCATAAAAACCTCAACTTTAGGATTCTGATTCAAAACGCATGAAACAATTCATAAAGTTATCTTTAAAGTCAAAAAGCTAATCTTTGTTTACGTTTGTAACCACGACTAACATTTGGTCGAAGGCTACTTAATTTCAAATTACCGTTACAAACAATGAATTTCTTGTTCATGGTACTTCATAATTACCTAAGAATACATTTTATTGTTTGAATGTGGAAGCAAAAACACGCATTTAGGCCGGAACAGTGGAGACGTTATGAATGGTCCGACAATAAAATATTAAAATAGTTATAGCTATTGGGTATGTTCCGATACATACTGTGACCACTGCAAGGTGTGACTTCAATTCAGTATACTGTGAAGCCGTTCTTGTTTAGTTTGCTATACTGGTTACTGTTTAAAACGGATCGCAGTCCAGTATACTGTCATCTCCATTTATCGACACTGATTTCGAATGAAAATATTTATCATGTACACGTTTTCCGTTCAACAAGAAAAATTATTATTTGAATGTTGTTGTCCGAGGTTATTTGAATAACAGTATCTATACAAATAAATAAAATTGAAGTGCCTGTTTGTAATATCAAAATAACAGCTTTTTACTAATTGCATAATATGAAAGTACTGTACCTACTTATAACAAAAACACAATTTTTTAAATTTTTGTCTGTCTGTTTGTTCCGACTAATTTTCGAAACGACTGGACCGATTTCGACGGGACTTTCACTGGCAGATAGCTGATGTTATAAGGAGTAACTTAGGCTACTTCTATTTTAGAAAAAGAATTAGGGTTCCGCGCAACATAATTAAAACCTTAAATTACACGCGGGCGAAATCGCGGGGAACAGCTAGTTAATAATTAACGATAACGATCATTTGTGGAAGCTGTTAAATCTCTAGGCGCCGTTATGTTTTTCCTCGAAAACGCCAGTGCACACAGTACAAAAATGGCGATTTAGGGTACGCCTAGGGTACTGCGACAGTACACTAGCAGTCCATAACGGAACGAATTTTTCACCAGGAAGAGCACAGAGCAGTGCTCGCAGCGTATATCGCTACCATTACCTCTACCTATAGCCTACCAAAAGGCCACTGCTGAACATGGTCTTCGCTATAGTTCCCACGCTTGGCAGGCCGCAGAACCGCAGTTTATTTTTATTTTTATTGATATTAAGAAGACGCTGTTGCCCATCTCCTGGTTTGTTTCCCTCTGTCGCCTCTTACGACACCCACGGAACGATATG